GAGCACCTCACTGCCAGGTGCCAGCAAATGCCCTCAAGACAAACTGACTTTGCTTACTCTTATGGAATCAAGCATCCTTGTCATTTCAACCTATGAGTGTTTCCCTAAGTTTCCTGCCAGCTCAACCATGCTTCAAACAAGTATTTTACATATGTTATCCATTAAATAGATGGTCTGACTAGTAAGTTTTTCTCTGTAGATCATTCTTATTCTCTAAATATTGTTTTCTTTACTGAATGTGTTTTATTAGTAAAAAGTAAATTTTAAAAAGTCTTTTAAAAATCAAATTGGCTAACAGTTTCTTTTTGTCTAACATACATACTTTTCATAAGCTAAGAGTCATTTCTAAGAGATTACTTTTCCCCCTGAATTCCAAGTATAAATATTGACTCCAACATAATACGCATTATCCTCCAATATTATACAAATTTTCAAACATCCAGGAAAGTTGACATAATATATATATATTTTTTACCACTTAGATTCTGTCATCATTTTACAATACTGTTTTATCACATATGTATTCATTTCCCTTTCTATGCATCAGTTCATCTCACTTTTTCTGTTGCAGTGCCAAGGAAAATGCAGACATCAGTACATTTCCCCACAAATATTTTATAAACATAATATTTTTATTTCTAGGAAATAAAGCTCCTTCTCCCGAGATTTTGCTTACTATTTCATAGGCATAAAAAAAAAAAAAAACAACTCTAATGTGCCACAATCAATAATACCATTTGAGAGGTTCCCTGATGGTTCAGTACTAAGGAATCTGCCTGTCAATGCAGAAGACACAGGTTCGATCTCTGACCCAGGAAGATCCCACATTCTGTGGAGCAACTAAGCCCATGAGCCACAATTATTGAGCCCATGCTCTAGAACCCGAGAACTGCAACTACTGAGCCGTATGCAGTAACTACTGAAGCCCATGTGCCCTAGAGGCTGTGCTCCACAACAAGAGAAGTCACTGCAGTGAGAAGCTTGTGCACCACAGCCAGAGCGTAGCCCCTGCTCGCCACAACTAGAGAAGTGTCTGTGCACAGCAACAAAGACCCAGCACAGCCAAAAAGAAATAAATAAACAAAATTACTAAAAAACAGCAACACCATTTGAGTCAGAAAATGATACTCTCACAGTTAAGAGGAGAAATAAACAAGTAAAATGAATATTTCCATGTTAGTAAAATAAGCTTCATATGTGGCACATTCATTTGAAATGTTTGCCTTTTTATTTCATCATTATCTAGGAATTTCTCTTATACTTCCTATCTGTTTATAGTGAAAAGCTCTTACTTGCTAATACTTCCTTATTCAGCAGTTCTGGAAGAGTATTCAATTTTATGGAAGCAGAGAAATGAACAATCACCTTTCGAACTTAATTTAGGCAAACTTACATCTTCCTTCTATGGTATTGTGATTTATAGTAATATGAAATATATATTAGATCTTTGTCCTGTTTGTGAAGGACAAAGGAGCTTCCTGGAACTTCCTAAGTGATACAGAGCTAAAAAGATGAAAGTCTTTTGTTACTCATAACAATCCCCTTTTAACCATACCTGAGTTTAGATTAATGAGTTGACTTTCTAAAAGCCTCTACAGATAGGGGCTGAAGTGAGAGAAATCAACCACATGATTAGCAGAACTTCGGCCTCACTCCTGAACTTCTGGGGAGAAGAGAAGAAAGGGGAGCTACAGGTTGAATTAATCACCAATGGCCAATTATTTAACCAATCATGTCTATGTAATGCAGCCCCCATAAATACTCAAAAGGAGGAGGATGCAGAGAGCTTCTGGACTGAAAGTGTGGAGGAGCTGGGAAGGAAGTACACTTGGAGGGCATGGAGGCTTCGGGTCCTTTCTCACATTATTTGCCCTATACATCTCTCTATCTGGCTTTTATTTGTAGCCTTTAAAATACTGCCAGTAGTAAGCAAGCTCTATTTTCCTGGGTTCTGTGAGCCACTCTAGTATACTACTGAACATGAGGGGGTGGTAGAAACGTATGATTTGTAGACAAGTCAGACAGAAATTGCAGGTAACCTGGGAATCTATTACTTGTGAATGGCATATGAGGTAGGGATAGTCTTACAAGACTGAGCTCTTAATAATGTGGGATCTGAGTTAACTCTGGTTAGTATCAGAATTGAACTGAACTGTAGAGCTGGTGTCAGAGAATTGGTAGGTATGGAGGAAAAAACTCACATATTTGGTGCCAGAGTGTTTGGAGTGTGAGTAAAGGATAACACACTGAATTTTTTTCAAGTCACATTCTAGAGGTCAGTTCTTCCAGCTTAATGATTTTATGAAATGGGCTGTACAATCTCTTTTAAAATTTTATTGTAACAATCACCTTACTTAGCTACCATATCAAGATTGTACTTCTACTGATTTCTATCTTTAATGTTAGGAGCAATGATTTACACTGATAAGGAGCATTTCTTTAATGAACACTGACCACTTTGAACACATACAAAATGTTGTCAGTAAAGGACATGAGAAATAAGTTTCAAAATTTAGATTCATTTGGATTTAAAGGAAGGCTGTCAAAATAAGTTTCATATTTGCTCAAGACAAAAAAGATCAAGAAACAAAAAGCTGTCTCTAGACTTCTACTACTATCAAGATAAAAACAAAATTGTAACCATTTGTTTTAAAAGCCCACACAGTATACGTGTATATTAGCACAAATTCATAATATGACCTCACTATATACTTTTTGATATTAAAATCAATATAATATTTTATTCTTTTTTTAATCTGGACTCGAGCAATCTGACTCCTCAGCTTAACCAGCAACTGATCTTAGATATATCCCTACTCTGCATGGTGCTCCTTTTCTTCATCTTTAATTTACTTTATGATGATCTTCACTGTTACGACTTATTCCATTATCTAATAACTTTTTTTTTTAGAGTATTTAAATACTGGCTAGCAAAGTACAGAAAAAAGTGAAAACGTGATGCAATTCTAGTACTTCACAAATACAAAATTGTACTTGGACTTTTTCTCCTCACTTAACGCAGGAGAACTTCTTGTTGGCAGATTAAACAAAAGGATGGTTCTAACTTAAGCTATCTCATTCAATTTCTTCTAAACTTACATTTCTTTTTTCTAATGCCATGTATAGCCTACTGTCAGAAGAACTACCAAACATTCCTTATAATTGAAACAACAGGAAGCATACAAAAAAGGAAATATGAAAAACCTAGTACACTCTAAGAGACAATGTTCAATTTCAGATGTAATCACACAGAAAAGCTACAGTCTAATAGTAATGGCACTAATAGTCACCTCATCAAAATACATCCAAGTAATAATTAGAATACTATGAGGACAATCAATGAAAAAATTGCACATCAGTAGAACGTGTGAACATTAGTAGGATATGAGTATTCTAAAGCCAGCAGCATTATAAAATGTGATACTTATGCACAACCAAATCACAATAAAATCAGGGCAGAGACAGTGAAGCCACTAAGAATATGCCACCAGAATGTCAGCTTCATTAATGTTAATCTTTTTGTGCTCTTCAGGCAAGAGGTGAATTAATTAATTTTCCCCAGAAACAAGGAAAGTAGACTAATAGAGCAAAGAATAAAGCCCTAAGTCCAAATAAATGTGATGTCAGTTTCAGTATCTTTGTCATGAAGATGTATATGTTTATAAATAGACCACTGCTTCATTTAGGGTGAAGGATCTCTTGGAATATACCAAAGTCATTCAAATAAAAAGGCAACATTTAATTGTAGGTCATAACATATACAATATATTAACATTTCTAGCTTCTAAAAAGACTTGTTTTCCAAAGGTTTCACTATTTGGTAGAGATCAAAGTGCCAATTTAGAAATAGTTTACTCACTTGTCAATTGATACACTCAGAAATTTCCTGAGTTAAAAAGAACTGTAACAGTTAGGGTACACTAGAAGTAAAATTGAAACCCAGTTCAACTGGACATAGTAACTGAAAATTCTATTACTTTCTATTATAAAATATATCATATATTAAAGTATACAAAATGTATACTTTCAGCTCAAAGAATAATACTTTTTAATGGACCCTGATATATGCTGCACTCACTTTAAGAAAAGGAATATTACTAATACCTTCGAGGTTCCAATGGGCTTCTTCTCTGGTATTTCTCTTAACCTGCTCCACAATATCCTAAATTTTGTTCTGAACACTTCCCTGTTTTTATTTCTAGCATTGATATTTTTAGGTGTATCCCTAAAGTAACTGGCTAGTTATTTATCTCCATCCATCCATTCATCTTCCACCCATTTTTTGCAATTTTATATATAGAGAATATGCTCTATATTATCCTTCGACTTCTACAGTATATGTCTCAGAGTAATTTCTTGACATTACCTAATTTTTCATATAATCCTTAAGATTAAAGGAATTAAAGGAATTTAAAGGTGAGAAAATGAGACACAGTGAAGCTAGCAACTTGCTACATTATATAGGAAAACAATGGACAAATTTCTCTATAGTAATTCTGAAAGTAAAGCAAACCAGCAGACTGTCTTATAACTTTATAGTACATTTATTTTAGCTGAAATTAAACATTTCTCTGTTCTTTTTTTTTTCTTCTTTTTATTAGTTGGAGGCTAATTACTTTACAACATTGCAGTGGTTTTTGTCATACATTGAAATGAGTTAGCCATGGATTTACATGTCATTTCTCTGTTCTTAAGAGTACAATTAAGTTAATATTTTTAAAACAACTTAACAAAGTTGGTAATTTTTGCTTTCATATTTAAGGGGCAATTATATTAAAGTGTACTGATGATGTAAAAGACCTCAATGATACTCCAGTATAGTCCTTAATAGGAAAACAAGAACAAATTAAAGAAAGAATATCAAGAACTTATTTGTTTTTCTCTTAAGGGACAGATTACTAGGAAAGAGATAGACATATTACGGAATATTCTAAGTAAAGAAGATGGTTCCTAAAATAGGTAATTAGTCTGACACTAATTAATCCAAAATTATCATTTACCTGAGCAAGTGGTGGAAGAATCTCCTTGCATATTTGCTGATTTGGTCTCTGTATTCTAATACAGTTGTATCCAGGAGTGGTCTTGTTGGAGCATAGAAGGTTCCAAGGCTTGCCTCAAGCTGTGCTGTGGAATTCAAACATAGCAGCACTAAAACAAGTGAAACTCCTTCAATTACAACAGAATACTCATGTTTGCAGTCAGTCAGGTTTTGCAAACTTGGACGAAATGTGAGCCTGTTGCAGGAAAAGATGAAATTAAAATATGACAGCTGGTACAAAAACAAACCTGTGTATAAACTTTCACTTGAAGCAAAGCTGACAATGACTCTGAGCAACAAAAAGCTGTCATAACTGAAGAAATCCATAATGAATCAACCTCTCACCACAAATGGGTAATTAAAACAGTGACTCATCAGAGTAACACAATTTGAAACTAGTATTTCCAGTAAAATCAACTCACAGTGTGCACATTTACTCTCTTTAGCTGAAAGGAGAAAACTAGTCTTACTACATTAGGCATTGAAATCAGTATTAGAAATATCTTTAAAAATAATGCAAATAAAAATAAACTTATTGGAGTAATAATATTTCTTTGTTACAACTTGAAGATCAAAAATCCCCCTCCGTTTCCTAAATACTGTCCTAAACAACACAACACCCTTCGTTTTGTCCAAGGGTGAAAGCTAACATCCCTGGAGGGATCCCATGCTAATCGACTCTGGTCAACTGACTTCCTGATAGCAAAGAAGGACCAGAGAGCAGGTTTGATAAGCCAAAGGTCCAGTGATTGGGAGAAAAGGGCACTTTTTGTCTAATTTACACTTTTGCCAAGACATGCCAGTGGGGTTGTGTTACCTCCAAGAAATAACTGTGAAATATAGAATTACCATGATGGTGGTAGCTGTATGAGGATACAGCTCACAGCAGGATTCCACTGATTTTTTTTGCACTAGTAGCACTAGGTTGAATAAACAATATCTTATTTAGCAGAACTCTTTTAGGTATATTTGGGTTTGAAAGTATTAAATACCTCATCAGAGTAATTGCTATGGACTTTGCTAAGCTGCTGGTAATTTCTTTTTTTTAATCTCAGATCTAGACAGTAAAGTAAGATGAACTTTGGGGGTATTTTCTTTCAAAGCAGCAGTCAATTTAGATTAAAATTGAATACAGCAATGCCATTGTGAAAGCAAGCCAGATTCTCCTGCCATTGCTTGTTTTCTTGACAGCGTGTTTCGTACATCTGAAATGTCTGAGCCTACACGGAATACTTGTAGCTCCCAGCACAGTTACAGATTCATTAGATAGCCCAGCTTGATGTTTAAGGCAGAAATGAAGATTTTGAAGATAACCACAGCCCCAGCTACAAATAAAAGAGCTCGCTGGGCTCCATTAATAAAAGGAAACAAATTACCATGTCAAATTTGTTAGATTCAGATAGAATAAATCTCAACAGAGAAGAATGTGAATGTTTTAGAAAAGTGTTTTGCAATTACTTGGGGGAAAATGCATACACCTACTTAAAATGTACATATTCTGATAACCTAGCATCATGAAAGCATTTTATTTTAATAGCCTAGTGTATCATACAAATTTTTTATTTCCCTATCCACCCAATATGGTTCCTTGATAATATCCTTTATTAAGGCAGGAACCTGATAATAGCCATTTGTGAATCCCCTAATAATCTTACTTACTACACAGGAATCTTACAACACAAATTCACTACGGTGCTAACAATTTCACGGTGTTCTGAGTAAAGAGTCAATATATTGCTGTCTTCATATTTCCTCAACTGTAAATTTATCATCTCTTACATCGGTTATGTGTACCACAACAGGCTTTCTTTAGGGACCCTGCTATCTACCTAATCTTGAGAGTATACCAATACTAACAAATAATTACTTGAGATAACTCTGCAGGTGAAAATATTACAGTAATCTTAGAGCCCCCAAATTCTGAAGTTATACTCTTTTTATTTTTAACTAATATCCATTGAGTACCTACTGTGGGTCAAGCATGTGCTAGGCATTTTCTCATTGCAGATGCACTGGAATCTCCATAGATGTGTTGGACTACCTCCAAAAAGCACAATCAATTAACATTAAATAAATATTGTGGGCCTCCTATGAGTTGAGGCCAAGTCTCATGATGCAGACTTCTTAAAAGAACATGTTCATACAGATTATTCTTCTCCAAAATTACTAAAAAGAAGGTTAGGTACAGAATACTATCTACCATGTTTACTTTGAAATGGAATAAAATGGAATAAGAAAATCTATAAATATGGAAAGAAAACAGTGAGGGGAAAAAGCTCTCCTGTAAAGGCTTTTTGACATATTTCCTGTTTTCTTTACTTTGTAAATCACGTATAGAAACGTCTTCATTGGCCATGGTTTCTCACTATTAATGTCAATGCTAATCACAAACATTTGAAATAAAGATACAAATTCAAGAATGTTTAGATGCATTTTACATTGAGAAAATAAATTACTCATAATAAAAATAATATATACTGCAAAACATAAAAACTGATTTCATTATTGCATGTGGCACTTTTTTTCCCCCTTTTTTTGGTGGGGAGGTTACAGTGCCTCATCTCTCTCTGAAAATAAACATCTGAGATCCTATGGACAAAAATTACTTCTTTACAGAAGGTTAGGAAATCCAAGCAGCCAGAAGGTAGAGGGCGATTACAAGTCTTAAGTTAGAATGAAAACAAGAACAACCTAAGCTGTAATCTCTCTGTCACACACACAAACACACACAATCAGCGGTAAGGTCTACTGTCTGGACAAAGAACTTGGGATGTGAGAAATACTAATGTTTAAAGTGAAGGAGAAATAAGGATTTTTTAGGACTCTTTGTCTTCCAAACCCTAGAAAGTACATTAAATTCCTCATCAAAGTTTAAAATCTGAGCATATTCTACATATGAATTTAGTCTGAAATGTGCAATGACTTCATTGTGAGTTCCAACACAGGTATATACAGAAAAGTTATTATGTTGACAAATACTATACAGTAAGTTACCATGTGGGAGTAATTATTTGATACCTGATTTTGTCAGTTTAATATGGCATGAATATTTTTGTCTTTTAAGTTCCAGTAACACAACTCCAAAGCATCCTCAAAAAATAACCAACTCATAAAACATATTTCAGTATATACAAAACTCACTTATGAAATATATTTTAAATCTGACCTTCTCTCTCTGGTGTGAGCTTTTGTCTAAGAAGATGGTTTACAATGGCACACATGCTGATAAAGCACTCATAGCCCAGAGTGTCCCAGTTCATACTACTCAGGATGTTTATTGCCTCATAGATCTCATCACAGTGAACATACTGGAAGATGATGTCTACCAGACCCAGGTGTCCTTGTGTGAAGATACCTGTCACAAAAAATATATAAAATCAAGTGAATCATTTAAAAATAAAAATAACAAAAACACATTTAATTCTAGAGAGGGAAAAAAAAAAACTGATCTTTCCTTGCATAAAGAGCTTGAAATGTGGGGTTTGCGGGGGCCAATACTCATATGGCACTGTGGTCAAATCTTCAAGTATCACCTACCAACTCCATCTTGCTTATGCTTACCATTCACCATATATTAAAACTTTTTACTCTACATGATCAAACTGTTTAGACTAAAAATGAATAAATGTGAGAACTTTTAGGTAAATCACAATAGCTAACTGAATTTCCCATATGTGATTTAGGCCTCTATTGTGTGTGTGTGTGTGTGTGTGTGTGTGCATTTTTAGCTGTGCTGGGTCTTCACTGCAAAAGGTGACCTTTTCGTTGCAGAGTACAGGCTTCTCTAGTTATGGTGCACATGCTCCAGAGCATGTGGGCTCAGCAGCTGTGGCACAAGCACATGGCTTCTTTAGTAGCGGCATATGAGTTCAGTTGCCTCACGAGATCTTAGTTCCCTGATCAAGAATCAAACCCACGTCTCCTGCATTGGAAGGCAGATTCTTAACCACTGGACCACCAGGGAAGTCCCTGTGGTATATACATAAAGACAGAATTTTGATGTAACACAATTCTTGTTGACCAGATTCATTAGTTCTAGGTTGCATCTGATCTTCAGCCCCATGTACTTGGCAGAAAAAAGTACAAATATTCATGACATGCATATTATTCAGTGTGAAACAGATCGCCAGTCCAGGTTGGATGCATGAGACAAGTGCTCGGGGCTGGTGCACTGGGATGGTCCAGAGGGATGGTATGGGGAGGGAGGTGAGAGGGAGGTTCAGGATGGGGAACCCATGTAAATCCATGGCTGATTCATGTCAATGTATGGCAAAAACCACTAGAATATTGTAATTAGCCTCCAACTAATAAAAATAATTGGGAGAAGAAAAATAAAATATTTAAAAACACATACCAATTTACTTTAAATTGGCATTTAAAGATTATCATCTTTGATTACTAATGATCATTCAGTTCAGTTCAGTCACTCAGTTGTATCTGACCCTTTGCAACCCCATGGACTGCAGCATGCCAGGCTTCCCTCTCCATCACCAGTTCCTGGAGCTTGCTCAAACTCATGTCCATTGAGTCGGTGATACCATCCACCATCTTATCCTCTGTTGTCCCTTTATCCTCCCATCTTCAATCTTTCCTGGCATCAGGGTCTTTTCCAAGGCGTCAGTTCTTCTCATCAGGTGGCTAAGGTATTGGAGTTTGACCTTCAGCATCAGTCCTTCCAATGAAAATTCTGGACTGATCGTCCAACCATGGACTGGTTGGATCTCCTTGCAGTCCAAGGGACTCTGAAGAGTATTCTCCAACACCACAGTTCAAAAGCATCAATTCTTCAGCATGCAGCTCTCTTTATAGTCCAACTTGCACATCCATACATGACTTAGGAAAAACTATAGCTTTGATTAAACAGATCTTTGCTAGCAGAGCAATGTCTCTGCTTTTTAATCTAGGTTGGTCATAGCTTTCCTTCCAAGGAGCAAGCATCTTTTAATTCCATGGCTCCAGTCATCATCTGCAGTGATTTTGGAGCCCCCTGAAATAAAGTATCTCACTGTTTCCATTGTTTCCCCATCTACTTGCCATGAAGTGATGGGACCTGAAGCCATGACCTTCGTTTTCTGAATGCTGAGTTTTAAGCCAACTTCTTAACTCTCCTCTTTTACTTTCATCAGAGGGCTCCGTAGTTCTTCACTTTCTGCCATAAGGGTGGTGGCGTCTGTGTATCTGAGGTTATTGATATTTCTCCCAGCAATCTTAATTCCTGCTTGTGCTTCATCCAGTCTGGCATTTCGTATGATGTACTCTGCATATAAGTTACATAAGCAGGGTGACAATATACAGCCTTGACATTATCCTTTCCCTATTTGAAACCAGTCTGTTGTTCCATGTCCAGTTCTAACTGTTGCTTCTTGACTTGCATACAGATTTCTCAGGAGGCAGTTCAGGTGGTCTGGTATTTCCATCTCTTTAAGAATTTTCCATAGTTTGTTGTGATTCACACAGTCAAAGGCTTTGGCATAGTCAATATAGCAGATGTTTTTCTGGAACTCTCTTGCTTTTTAGATGATGCAACGGATATTGGCAATTTGATCCCTGGTTCCTCTGCCTTTTCTATAACTAGCTTGAACATCTGGAAGTTCATAATTCACATACTGTTGAAGCCTGGCTTGGAAAATTTTGAGCATTACTTTGCTAGTGTGTGAGATGAGTGCAAATTATGCAATAGTTTGAACATTCCTTAGCATTGCTTTTCTTTGGGATTAGAACGAAAGTTGACCTTTTCCAGTCCTGATGCCACTGCTGAGTTTTCCAAATTTGCTGGCATATTGAGTGCAGCACTTTCATAGCATCATCTTTTAGGATTTGAAATAGCTCAGCTGGAATTCCATCCCCGCCACTAGCTTTGTTAGTAGTGATACTTCCTAAGAGCCACTTGACTTCACATTCCAGGATATCTGGATCTAGGTGAGTGATCACACCATTGTGGTAATCTGGGTCATGAACATCTTTTTTGCATAGTTCTTCTGTGTATTCTTGTCACCTCTTCTTTTTTTTTTTTTTTACAATACACATACACAAATTTTAATAAAACAAATTTAAATCTTTATCAGCAATTCACTATAAAACAATTTAAGGAATCTGCTTAATATAAAAGTTAAAAGCACTTAAGGACCTACCAACCATTAAACCCTATATAGAGACCCAAGTCCATCAAAGCAGCTGCTGCTTCCTTGGTACCATCAAATGAATGCACCTAAGGACATGAAGGCACAATTTTATTACAATACTTTTTCTTTAAAATCCTAAATAACCTTAATAGGCTTTCTAAGTAAAAATATAAATGCAATATGGACATTTGGAATATGTAGCAATAGGGGAATGTGGACTTGATTTTGACCGACTACAGTTTTGTCCCAAAGATACTCAGCTCAAGTATTTTGAAAAAACAGTTTGAACTGTCAGAACAAACAAAATTACCCATGTTTCTTTATTGTCGGAACTCACATGCTGAATTTTTGGACATAATGAGAAGAACTAGAGATCGGTTTGTAGGTGGAGCGGAAAAAAGTATCCTCTAACAGAAAAATTGAACATCTACAATTTTAAAGTTATGTACATATCCACTTTTCCTTATGCCTTGCCTAGAATGTGGCTCCCTCCTCCAGTCCCCTTCCTCTAGGTACAGAGACCTCAGCACAGCCGTAGACAGAAATTCTAGGCAACAATCTCCTCCTTTCCTCATCACATTGGAGACAACAGGCTATAATTGTACAGTTTGATTTGAAAATAAAAACTGTAGTGGCCACCTTTGAAATCCCATATTCCAATTGTCACCTCTTAACATCTTCTGCTTCTATTAGGTCCATACCATTTCTGTCCTTTATTGAGTCCATCTTTGCATGAAATGTTCCCTCGGTATATCTAATTTTCTTGAAACGATCTGTAGTCTTTCCCATTCTATTGTTTTCCTCTATTTCTTTGCACTGATCAATGAGGAAGGCTTTCTTAACTCTCCTTGCTATTCTTTGGAACTCTGCATTCGAATGGATATATCCTTTTCTCCTTTGCCTTTAGCTTCTCTTCTTTTCACAGCTATTAGTATAGCCCCTTCAGACAACCATTTTGCCTTTTTTGCATTTCTTTTTCTTGGGATGGTCTTGATCACTGCCTCCTGTACAATGTCACAAACCTCCATCCATATTTCTTCAGGCACTCTATCAGATTTAATCTCTTGAATCTGTTTGTTACTTCCACTGTATAATCATAAGGGATTTGATTTGGGTCACACCTGAATGATCTAGTGATTTTTCCCTACTTTCTTCAATTTCAGTCTGAATTTGGCAATAAGGAGTTCATGATCTGAGCCACAGTCAGCTCCCAGTCTTATTTTTACTGACTGTATAGAGCTTCCCCCTCTTTGGCTGCAAAGAATATAAAGTACTGACCATCTGGTGATGTCCACATGTAGTCTTCTCTTGTATTGTTGGAAGAGGGTGTTTGCTATCACCAGTGCCTTCCCTTGGAAAAATTCTATTAGCTTTTGCCCTACTTCATTTTGTACTCTGAGGCCAAATTTGCCTGTTACTCCAGGTTATCTCTTGACTTCCTACTTTTGCATTCCAGTCCCCTATAATGAAAAGGACATCTTTTTTGAGTGTTAGTTCTAGAAGGTCTTATAAGTCTTCATAGATCCACTCAACTTCAGTTTGTTCAGCATTAATGGTTGGGGCATAGACTTGGATTACTGTGATACTGAATGATTTGCCTTGGAAACGAACAGAGACCATTCTGTCATTTTTGAGATTATTGTAAAGAAATGATTATTTGTAAAGAAATAATTTAATCTTGTTATTGATCCTCTTGCATAACTAAAGAAAATCCACTTCTAAGCTAATAGAAATAAGAACATCAAACAAAGCAGGGAGTAGGGGGAGAGGCATTCTGTTAGAATTTTATCTTATCTTTTAAATATGGAAGAACTCTTTTGAAACTAACAAATTCTGTGTAATAAAATGACAATAAGTACTAGCACCTTTTAAGTTTTTTTTTAAGCTTTTAAAAAATATTTGTTTGTAAAATTTTTTCCTTCTGCAAACGTTTACTGATTTGAGTGAAGCTACAAAAACTTCTCAGTACAAATAATCATAAAGTTAAATAAGAAAATGTATGTGAAGTTATTTGGAATCTGTAAAGTATATAATATACTACTATAACTCTTCATTACTGTCATCATCATCATCATTTACCTGAAACAGTTATAGGTTTCAGAATTTTTAAAAATGTATTAGCTCATGAGAAAGATCCTGAAATTATTTATATTAACTTCAACTCATATAAAAATGAGATCTTCTGCTATACCAGCAGGACTCAACTTGATAAGAAATCTGGGGAATTACCCTG